TTATTAAGGGAAGACACGAAAGTCAAGTTCAATGGGTACAAGTTACATTTAAGTAGAGTTTCAGCCAGAACTGAAAAGGACTTGCTTACAACTTGAGATACTCATCAAAAGTTAACCTCCCAGTTCCTAGAAATAGTCTCATAGCCTGGAAATGCCATTTTTCATGATGCTCTAGAAGGCACTCTTTTTTAGGAGGTAAATTTATAAGGTCTCCTTCTTTCTCTAAAACCCTATGATTTCTCAGACTAGCCATTTTACTTCTCTTGTGGGAGTGGAGTTAGGATGAAACAGTTCTTAAATTCCCTTCTTGCTCTCTCCTTCTATGAAGTATCTCATTCTAAAGTTCAGCCTCACTTGTGTTTCACAGCGATATCAGAGACAGGAATCATTCATTTCAGCTTGACTCTCAAGATCTTATCCTCAAATGAACTTACCACTACCAACTGAAATATGTTCTTAAAATCTTCTAGTCAATCTATCATCAAGTGAGTCAGCTTTTCAAGCTTAATTGGTATGGTTCCTTAATAACTATGTCACCTTGCCATATTCCTTTTTTAGCATTTTTTTTCCCTAAACTCTGTTGTTAAACTCAAACATCCTGCTTTCAACACTCTTTGTATCTAAGAACACAGTGGGGCAGATGACAAAGGATGAGAAACTTGTAAAGGGTAACAGATAACTTCCTTTTGACTGGTAGATATTGTCAGGAGTAGAGAAGGACTGATGTGAAATTCTGGGCTTGACCTTAAGGCAGTAACTAGAAGTCTTAGGAGTATCATCTTAAAGACTTGCCTCCAGACAGGATCAGTCAAGTGGCTGTGTTTGCATGTGTTCTGAGGGATTCTGGGAAGTCCCTACCCTTTTCCCTACATGTATACCTACCCATTGCTCCCTCCTTCTGTCTTTAGAAATAATTTCATTTAGGCCACAAAGTCTTTTAAGACTTTAAAAAGCTCCTTGTTCATGCTAGGTGGCTTCAGGTGTGTCTGACTCTTTTCAACCCTATGGACCGTAGTTCCTCCAGGCTCCTCTGTCCATGGGATTCTCCAGGCAAGAATACTGGAGCGGGTTGTCGTGCCCTCCTCCAGGGGATCTTCCCAACCCAGGGATCGAGCCCACAGCTCTATGTCTCCTGCATTGGCAGGCAGGTTCTTAACACTAATACTACCTGGAAGCCCAATAAGCTCCTTAGGAGTTATTATTTAGCTCAACCAGGGCAATACACCAAGACTTGAGAGAAAGAGCATTGTTGGAGTCTAAAGCTATGTTTGGAAGGGGAAGTCATGGGAAAACTGGACTCTTATCCTTCCTTATTTATTTTACCACTGATATGGCGTAAGCACTATACTGGGCACTAGGGATACAGAGATAATAAAACACCATCCCTGTCCTGAGACAGGACACAGAAGGTCACAGAAGCCTCTCTAACACAGGCAACATCGTATGTAAAAATAAGATACTACAAGATGACTAAAATGGGTATGTGTGGGTGGAACAGCCCACATTTTTACCCTGGTACTGACTACCCTGGTAGTGACTTTACCTTCACTCACTAAGGGGAATGGCCAGAACCTGCTGGTGTGGTCATGAGGGCACCAAATTAAGGGAGGGAAAAGTGGGAATTCTGTAAGAACTAGAAGGAAGTCGAACACAACCTCTCAGCCAAATGTTGGAGCCGTGAATTTTTGCTGCAAGGTTTTATGTTTTCTAGACATCATTTACAGATTTAAGTAGGAGTCACTCTGGGCAATACTGGTCAGGGTGAAGAACTAGAATTCTCAGAAACTTTCTTGTGGAGCTTCAGACAGAGGAAGGCTGATGAGGGAAATAGCGTGTTGTGGTTCTCAGGCTCTTAACCTCAAAACACTGAAGGATAATGCAACACTCTCCATTTGTAATAGCAATGGCTTGGGTAGATATTCACCACCATTAGGGGTATGGGGCAGAATACTGTGGAGAAGCGGGAAATGGGGAGTAATTTCATAAAGGCCTAGTTGAGTCTGTCTGTTCCTTTACAACCAGCCTTAAGGCTAAGAGAAGGTGTAGAACTGGGTTGAAGGCAACTCCGCCACTAACCAGCTACATCACCAGAGGCAGCTGATGCTCTCTCAGCCTTAGTTTCTTCCTATGTAAAATAATGAATCTTATCTGGCTGTATTTTGAAGGAATTAAAGATAATACATTGAATTTCCTATCACAGTTAGTATATAACCATAGAGCCAGAACTTAAGGAACCCTTAGCTACTAGTATAAGTAATTTGTCTTAAAAGCTGGATTGGGGGATAACAGAGTCTGCTCAGCCAGACTTCATGCAGAAGTGAAAATCCTGGGATTTGCAGAAAATATGCTCTTAACAGTAAATGCCCTCTATAATGAGGTATGACAGCTTAGGCTGGGGGCAAATATTTCATGAAATCTTAATTGCTAGAAATAAGAAGTTGAGGTGCAGAAATGGGGAGAAGCTCCTTGTGTTTTTAGTTTTCTGGGTTTTTTTTAGTTTTTCTAGAAGAAAGATATTAAATTTACATTTGAGATGGATTATTTCAGGGTAAAAAGATTAATAGAAATTTTTTAATCATGTAAAGGTAAAGCCAAGATCCTGATCTGGAACAGAAAGTTTGAGACCATTCATTCCTTTATTCCCACAGTCCCAACCTTTTTGACACTAGGGATTGGCTTCATGGAAAACAGTTTTTCCAGACCTAGGTGGCAAAGGTGGGGGGCACAGAATGGTTTAGGCTATAATGCAAGCAAGTGGGGAGTAGCAGATGAAGCTTCACTTGCTCGTCTCCTGCTGTGCAGCCAGCTTCTTAACAGGGCTAGGGGTTGGAGACCCCTGCTTTATTCACTTGGCAAATTTGAGTACTTACTACATATATTGCACAAGGTAGTGAACATAAAAAGCAATGATTATGCAAAGAGGTTATCTTTGTAGTGAGTAGAATTACAGTCTTGAACCTGTGTTTCCTTGGGGTCTGGAAGGAGAAGCCTGGTTAATGGACTCTGGCCTACAGGAAACTTGGTCCCTCCAACATGGCAGCAGGATAGGGACTGAGAGATACCCTTCCTTCGAGACGAGGATAGGAAATGTTCTGGGCGTCCCCAGTGGCTCAGCAGTACAGACTCTGCCTGGAATGCAGGAACCGCAGGAGACATGGGTTCGATCCCTGGGTCAGGAAGATCCCTGTTCCGCATAAATTATATCATTTAATCCTTTGCAGGGGTTTCCCCAGTGGCTCAGGCATAAAGAATCTGCCTGCAGTGCAGGAGATGCAAGTTCAGTCCCTGGGTCAGGAAGATCCCCTGGAGGAGGGCATGGCAACCCACTCCAGTATTCTTGCCTGGAGAATCCCATAGACAGAGGAACCTAGCAGGCTACAGCCCAGGGGGTCACAACGAGTCAGACATTAGTGAGCATGAACACATACATAAGCCCTTACAGCAGTGTGGCGAAATAAGTAAGGTTATCGCCTTTCTCTGATGAGAAATGGGAGCTGAGAGTCCTATGTCCAAAGTAACACAACCAACAAGTAGGTAGCAGTCCTGGGGTCCAAGTACAGGTTTGTGTAACAACAAATTTCTTTACACCAAACCACAGAGGAAAATGTATGTTGGGAGAGAAACATAATTAAAATGGAAACCATATTGGGAGATATGTTTCTGCTTCCAAGCAAACATAAGTAATTACATAAGTGGACGATGACCTCCAGTTGTAACTAAAACCCAAGACTCAGGGGGCACAGGTTCAGACACTTCCTCTCCACCTAGAAAACTGCCGCAGAGGAAAAAGAAGTGGTAAAAAGCAGTTTCAGGTAGATCATGACAAAGTCAACTAATTTTTCTTGGGTGATAGGAGTAAAGGAGCCGTATCCATCTGTCCTGGGGAATCAAACAGTTGCCTCCAAGGTTAATGTAAATCTGTTGTTTAAAATACAGGTTGTTTTATATATACAGCCCCAAAAGTTAAAGCTTAAAAAAAAATCCCTCATTCATGCAAAATCATGTTGACGTATAAAGGCACATCTGTGGCCACAGCTCGATCATTTGCAGCCCTCTTATAAAGCACCAACCATACAGGGCTTTGTAGACCAGTAACAGTTGGTGGGTGGGCACAGATGCACGAACCATACTTTGACAGCAATGACACTTTCACTTTCAATTACAACACTCTTAGCATGGGCTAGTCAAAGGAAAATCCACACATTTAAACCTCAACATGGTCTCCACATATCAAATAACAGCGAATTCTTTCTTTCTTCTTTTTCTTTTTTTTTTTAAACTCAAGCAATCTGTGGGGTCGCTTCAAAGAAGTCTTTAGTTCCTACAGACTTTCTGAAAGAAATGAGAGACACTAGGAGGTCTCAATTATATTTTCTTTCCGGTGACTGCTGCATAAATCTGAGCAAGACTGTCATTTTTTTTTCATCTCAAGGATTAGATTAACGTTGCTGCTGGCAGCACAAGGGTTGAATCTTGATGTTTGTGCATTTCTTCCCTGTTTTCCCCGTCTCCTGATCCTGTACCCACACACAGAAAGAACACATAAGCTGAGCGACTTACTCATCCCAAGCATTTGAACTGGTCTTTTTATAGTCATACTGTGGAATCTGTTTAAAAAACCATACCAGACACCACCATGCCATCCACTTCACCTTTCTTTTGTCATCCATGTTTTGTGGTAACATGGTTTTCTATCACAGAATGATGACACTCTTGCCTTAAGTGGTTTCTGTGATGAATTCCCAGACAGAGTTTGGGGAAAAAGCATTATTTCTCTTTTGCTTCCCCTACCCCAAAGGTCCCTTCTGTGTACCTCAAACGCTTCAGCCTAGTCTTCTCCTTTTGAGGGGAAATTAGTCAGTGGCTCATAGGGATATACCCCAGCTCTTACCTCAGTGGCTCACCAAAACCAGAACTGGCCCCTCACTCAGTCAGGTCCAATCATGATCTTCCACAGACCCTGCAGCCATACTTGAACCTGGATTTTTTTCCCCCCTTAGGATTCCCCTTGGAGAAAAAGAATCAGGGAAACCACATGCAGAGGGTTGAGCAGAGAACAGAAACCCCAGAGCCTTCCAGCGTCAACTGTTCCTACTGTCCTGATGAGCCTCCCAGGGCTAGAGAGGAAGAAGATCTAGCACAGGGGAGAGAGTGGCTTTTAGACCCCTTGGGGAAGGGATCGCCTGGGCTCTCCCATGAGATCTGAAAGTGTGTAGAAATCCCTGCAGTTACCAGGAAAATGTAGATATCCACGCCTGACAAATAACTGGCGCTCACTATATACACTAAGTAGTTGAATGGTTGAATGAATAAATGGGCAAAAAAAGCAGAGGAGAGGATGAAGCAGCGCTTCACAGATCACTTTCATTTGCCTTCCTTCCTGGGCTCTTTTTTTCCAACATTTTTATTTGTTTATTTTATTGTTTGGCTGTGCTGGGTTTTCACTGCTGCATGCAGACTTTCTCTAGTCGCGTCAAGCAGGGGCTACTCTCTAGTTGCAGTGTGAGGGCTTCTCGTTGCAGTGGATTTTCTTGTTGGGGAGCACTGGCTCTAGGCTCGCAGGCTTCAGCGGTTGGGTCCTGTGGGCTCAGTAGTTGCGGCTCGCAGAGTTAGCTGTCCCGAGGGATGTGAAATCGTCCCAGACCAGCAATTGAACGTGTGTCCCTCACTGGACCGCCAGGGAAGCACAGCGGTTATCCTTTTTCTTTTTTGCTCTTCACCCTTAGAAATAGCCGTGCCACTTTGCTTTTCTTATTTCCTAATTACTCTCTTAATTTTTTCCCCAGATGTTTCATGTGCGTTGGTTTAAAAAGCGAGATCACACAGAAGAGCTAATAATGCAAAACAAGCCAGTTACAAGGAAAAGCTCTATTCTTTCAGCTTTAATCCTTTTCTCCAGAGGGAGACAGTTTTAACTCTGTTAACTTCTGCTTGTTAGAATGCAGGTTCAGATTCAATAGGTCTTGATGAGGCCCAAGATTCTGCACTTCTACTAGTTGCCTGGTAATGCCAAAGCTGCCCTATGGAGGAGTCTAGAACTTTGAGTAGCATGGACCTAGACCATTGCTATAGTGTCTTCTAGCTTCAATTCTTGCCAAATCTCTTCCATCCTCATCCCCCCACTCGGCACTCTGCCATCTATGAGTCTGAGACTCATAGAGCCTCAAACATGCCGTGCTCTTCAAACCTGCATGGCTTTGTACATCTTCCCTCTGCTCCTCAGCCCCTTCACTGAATGAGCTTCTTTGTGTCTCAGCTCATACTTGATCTCTTCTATGAAACCTCCCCCAGATTCCCATCCTACCAGATGCTCAGGCCCTCTCTTCTCTGTGCTCATCACACTGTAGATAACATGGTGTTTCCATGTCCAGGGCTATTGCATAGGATTGCTCAGGTTGTGCCCAAGGATAAGGATCCCTGCCAAGAAAGCAAGAGGGGCTGAAGTCCATCCTGTTCTCTGCTTGCTGCATCAGTGCAGGTCACGTGCAGAGCTGCCTCTGCTAGGAGGCAGGGATGACTTTTTCTGTTTCACACAAAGGTACCATATGGGCTGATTTTCTGTCTTTTCTACCAGATGTGGTATCCTTGAGGAAGGAATCAAGTCTCTTTCACCTTTATGTTTTTATTTACTAGCGTAGTGCCTGTGACAGTTCAGTCTTTAATGAAATGTTTGTTGAACGGATAAATGATAAGAAAAAGAAATGAAGAACTACAGAAAGCAAAGCACAGACAATAATTTCACTCAGTTCTAAAATTAACTGAATTATAAACAAGAGATCTGGAATTTGCTGATTTCTGATAAAAAGGCAAGGACTTCAAAACTCCACTTTGCTAAAGAGGATGGTCATAAGTATTACTGAAAAGATATAAAGGCTATAGTCAGCACCTTTAGAAGACTCATCAGAACCAGTAAAGAAATAGGCTGCCCAGAATCAGAGCTAAATGGTCATGTCTTTTAAGACCTAGGGAAATATGAGGAAGATTCTGAGGATATTATTTGGTCATAAGATTTAGAGGCTTCTAAAATCAGCAAGAAGGTCCTGAGAACAAGAAGAAGTGATGACAAAAAAACATGCATAGAGGGGCTGAAGTCAGAAACAAAACAGAGAATGCATTAGATTGTGAAAATGAGATTCCCATGACTGCTAGGAGCCTGGGCTTTATTGAGAGAGGCACAACCCAGATAAAGAAGCATCTTGATACGGATCTTTTAAATGGGGTCCATTCAATTTGCTTTGCATGAGCTCCTTGGGTGTTTCCACAGAATGTCTCTCCAATAAGACTGGAAGCTTCTGGAAGTTGAGACCAAGGCTTGGACACTTTTTATCTTCCTGAGAGTGTGTGATACTCTATGAAATGAAGTAGGTGCCAGATATGCAGGGAGTTTACAGCTGTCAATGACCATAAAGTAAGGAAGTGCAGAAGTGCTAGTCATCCTCCGCCAAAATAGCAATTTCACCTCAGCACTGAGAAAGAGATTCCTTTGAGAAACATCCTGATACGTTGCAAAAACCCAGCCTGGGCTTTGCTTTCTTACATCATCTTATTTTCATTAAGGCCAGTTTCTAAGATACAACTGGTGGTTCTGTAGTAAGGGGAACTGAGAATCTTAAATACTGTATGCTACCATGTGATAGCATGGTATAAAATGTTATTCAAAACAAAACCTAAATTAAACACACACAAAGGAATGTAGGATAAGTTCATCAAACTTACATGTACCTCTCACCAAGATTTAACCTCAGATCTCCAACAAACAAATTGGAGGTGTTTGGAGCATCTGGGGCCTTATCTTGTCATCTAAGGGGATTTCTGGTCTAGTTATCCAGCACCAGCACTTGTGATCAGTGTGATAAAGAGTCACTATCAAAAAGAGTAGAAATGAGGTCTTTCTGACACATCACCATCATGAGACTTACCACTGATTACTGCCCAGGACCCATGGACAATGCTGGAATTGAGTATTGAGCAATTGCAAAGTTTCCTCTTTTTAAGGCATAAAAAGTGCTAACTTCATGTCTTTATTCCCTGGGGCATTTCTAAAAGGAAGGCCAGCTAATTAACTTTTTTCTTAAGAAAATCAGCCAAATAGCAAATACTCATTTTAAAAAGACTTTCAGTTATTAAAAAACTCATTCTAATTTTAGGGGAAAAAAAATTAAAGTTTAAAGAAGTCCAAAAAAAAAAAGAGAGAGAGAGAGAAAGGTTATGGCAATCCACCTACTGTCACCAGCTAGGTGGATTCTTTACCAACAGATCTACCCGGGAAGCCCAGCACAACTTTACCAATGTCTTACTGTAACTTTTCAAGTCATAGAGAAAATCAGCACCTGAAAACTGTTCTCATGCTCAGTGGGTAAACCAAATGTAGGCTATGCTCTTACACTCTGAGTTCAGTTGAATTGTGCAAGTAAAAAATATTCTGGAAATCTTAAATGCCAAATTCAAAAATTAAGAAAATATATGACTATTGATCACTTCTTTCAATGGATGACAGTGCAGATTTCCTGATCTGTCACATGGCTGTCTTTTTAACCAAACAGGAAAGGTTTTGACATCCTTGTTTGCTGTTTCCACATCTTGAAGAAAAGCTGAAAGCACCTTTCTAGATACTGGCTGGCACACACCAAAAAACTCCTTTCAGGAAAGTTAGAGAAATCCCAGAATGTTGTTTATCAAGCAGTTCAGGTGTATCCTTTGAAAAAGGTTGACTCTGCAGATTTTACTACTTATACTGTCACCTATAAGACATTTCTTCTGAGTGTCCATAACATTTTTACTTCTTATATAGCTCTTTGGGTGGTGGGGGGGTTGTTATTTACCCAGTTCTCAGAGGAAATCTGAAGTGATTTAACACCTTTGGAAACAACATAGTAGGCTGCTAAATTTCTTACTCAGTGATTCAGAATTGCTTTTAAGCTGAGTTTTGAGGCTGTAAACTTCAAACTCTGATTTAAGCACCAAAGATATTTCAGCCAAACTGTGCTGCTTGGCATATAAAAAGCAACAGTAGCAACCACAAAATTCTTACAGAGTGTCAGGACCTATTCTTTGTGCTTTACTACCGTAACTAACTCACACTTAAGCTTCATAATAAAATCCTCACAATCATCCTATGAACCAGATACTGTTATTGTTCCCATTTTATATATGAGGAACAGAAAGTAATTTGCCCAAAGTCACAGAGCTGTTAAGTGGCCAAGCCGGTGATAGGAACTGGCCATCTGTCTCAGAGTCTATGCTTCTAAGTCTCATCTAGCAATCCACCCCCACACCAGTTGAAAATTACATTGACTCCTTCTAGCACCCTCCTCCAACATGAAACCCACTTGAGTCATTGAATGCCAAGTTCAGTAAAGCTGCATTCTCTTAACAACCCCTTTCCCCAAGGTCCATGGGAGAAGCTGGCTATTTGCCCGGGGAAGCCTGTCTGAAAGGGTTTGTGTATGTACACACCTGCTCAGTCGTGTCTGACTCTTTGCGGCCCCATGGACTGTAGCCCACCAGACTCCTCTGTCCATGGAATTTTCTAGGCAAGAATCCTGGAGTGGGTTGTTGTACCCTCTTCCAGGGAACCTTCCCAACCCAGGTATTAAAAACCCTCGTCTCTATGTCTCTGCCCTGGTAGCTGGGTTCTTTATCACTAGCACCACCTGGGAAGCCCTTGAAGGGTTTTAATGGAAACTAACTCAGTCTGTCACTGGGGAGAGAAAGGTGAGTTTTCTTGTTCATTTAGCGTGAAAAACCTCTTAAACTGACAGATTTCCTTCCCCCTCTCTGTTGCCGACAGCTACGGGTGAGAAGGTCTCCTGGGTATGTTTCACATGATCTGTATCATGTAAAGAAAGGTCATGTGCCCTCAAAGAACACAGCAACTTCTCACCTCAGCTTTTCTGCTAACTGCAGATTGCATCTACAGGAAGAGTGCAAGGGGAACGAGCAGGAATTATAAAAACTCTGTTGATGACGTAAGTAAACCTCGTCAGCTTTTATTTTCTCAGCTGGGAGGGCAACCCACATGATTAAAGCCAAGAAAGCAACTCTCAAGTTGTTGTATTAACAATTCTGTTCTTTGGAGGAGACATCATAAAAAACCTTGGGATGGTAGAGCTGGAACTCTTTTAGCATCATCCCCCACATTTTAAAGATAGGGAAACTGAGACCCATAGGGGACTCCTGGCCTGCTCGTGATAACACAACTAATTT